GGTTTTCCTGGCTGGGTGTGCTCTCCACATGGCTTCCAGCTGCTCTGGGGGCATGTGTTGTCTAAACATCACACCCTCAGAGTGGCCAGAAGCTGCAGTTTCCTGCCCATCTGTTTTGAGCCTTATTCTTCTGATTTCTTCACTACAGTCCCCATTCTGGTCAATGTTTGACCCCAGGTGTGAGAACTTTTTTACTATTTCATTATTGTTTAGGCTGAAGTCATGTAGATTCTCTGTGGTCATTATTTTTTGTTTTCTTTATGTTCAACAGTAAGCTTGCCTTTGAACTTTCTTACTTAATCTTCCTTAGTTGTTGTTCTAGGTCTGTGATATGTCTGCTAGTAGCATAGTATCATCTGCATATCTTTGATGAGTTAAATATTAAACTTTCTTAAATAAAACAGTTCTAATTTGACTGCTTTTATTTCCTTATAAAATGTTAAAATATGAGTATACTTGATTGTGTGAATGAAAATGTGCACACTAAATATACACTATATATACATTACATGGGTGGGATGTCTGCATGTAGATGAAAAGTGTGGGGTGGGTGGGAGGGGGGAGAGGGGGGTTACCAAGGTTAAAAAGTTTGAGTAGCACTGGTGTAACTTAAGTATAAAGCAGCTTTCTATGTTTCCAGTCAATTTTTCACAGTATCCCTACAGAACTGCCTGAAGTGGAAAATACTTTAGCAAAGGGATGCTTATATCTAGTTCTCATTTCAGATATATGCTATTCTGTACCTTATCAGTGCATTTTCATCTATTGAAGAGATTCTCAGAAATATCTAGTAAATGACATTGAAATAGATACTGAATCTGGGAATTTTATTAAGATTGAAATAACAAGCCTTTGCACTTTAAAAACCAACTACAAGTCTCTAGTCCTGTGTAATAATATTTACGGCAAACAAACTAATTAATTTAATGTATCTATAGGCTAACATGCCATTCAGTTAAGGGTTATGGTCTGATCTCCCCACCACTCCCACACTACCATCACCCCACAAGATTCCTCATTCTCCAAAGCCAGATCATGTTGACATCTGCCCATTTCAATAAATCCTTGATTCTTTAGATTTCTTTTATAAGAAAACCACAGCACTACCTGATGAAATTTCATTTAAGATATTTCCTTTGTGAATTAGTAACAACATAGTTGCTAAGGAGACACTGAATAATTTACAATGCAACACTGACAAGCCATCCTGCCCATCCTGATATTTGTTTCATTTCAGAGATATAACCAGGGTGATCTTGTTTTTAAATGAGTTGTAAAACAAGAGTGAAACAAATGTTTATTAATCATATTACCAATAAAACCCAGTTGAAAGTTTTCCTTCATTGACAAGGTGTTTTGTATTAATTCCCTGTTTTTTTTCTTAAGACAAAGCTGCTTTGGGAATAACATTAGTATCACTAAGTGTATCAGAGTAGATAAATCAGAATTCCAGTTCACAATTGTGCAGCTTCTTTGATCAACCTGAGATAGGGATATAAACCTTCCCTTATTTCACTCTTACATGCAAGAATAATAATATCCAAATGTTTTTTTTCCCCATTGGATGAGATTAGAAGGGGTTTTTGGCATTTTTCAACGAATTTTCATACTTTTGGGAATTTTTGTGAAAAAAAGTATTTGGGACGAAATCCTTGTTTGGTGCACCCCCTCCCCAACCTTGAATTATACTATAGTTTCTATAGCAAAGTAACTTTCCAACTGTTGCCTTCCTTCAAAAATAAATAAACAAAATCATATCATAACTTCTTTGAACATTTGAAACCTCAAAGCTCTTTTCTGGGTCTGAGCTCAAAAATCCTAGGAAATATAATTCTGACAATTATTCAGTCAACAGCATCTATATTATAGATTCTTTGCAGAAAGCAATTTCTACTCAATATGGACAGAGCTCCTGAAGTACACATATTCCATTAAGACTGGATTGTCACAATCTTCCCTAGAACTGTTAAGTGCAATGCTTTATTTACAAAATTATAGCACTACAGGATTAGACAACACACTCCATGCCACAAATAGACAGTCAAAGAAAGAACATTGGTGGTGGTCCAAAGAATTCATGAGTTAATTTGAGATATATTGACTTATTAGTGGCATTTCCCCCTAGAATCTGGAATGGAGTTTGATAAGGTTTTGAATGAGAAGTATTCCACCTTCTTCTGGCTGTCATTGGGAAAGAATTCTGCAAAGGAAAAGCAAGACTGCTCCCACAATGCTAGGTGTGTTGTATATACCCTTGGAGAAGCATTTTAGCAGATTAAGGATTGAAACACATGGCGTAAATGTTGCTTTTAGTTTCAGCATTTGTTACTGAAGTTTTTTAGGTGGGGATGTTATGAAACAAACAGATGACATTTGTATTATCACAGAGGTTTCAGTAGATATTCCCAGCACCAGCAGCAACATTTTATTCCCACCCAAAAGAAGGATTTAAAAATCCAGAATAAATCACCCCCACTCTGAATAAATAAATAAATAAATCCCAAGGAATTGTATGGTTCTGCACTTGCACTTTTTACTGTGTTCCCTGGCCATTCTTTCACTTCACTTCCAGGGGGAGGAGTAGCAGAGTTCCTTACATTTTCATTACAATTTTCAGAACCCTGTTCCTTAAAAAAAGAAAAAAAGAAAAAGAAAAATGAAGCACAATGGAAAGGCAGTCAAGGATTTGCATGTTGGTTGACCAAGCTGCCTAGTTTCATGGGAACTTAATAATGGTTGGCTAAGGTGCTGGCCTTAGATTATGGTAACTGGATAAACCTTTTATAGGGAATTAAATCAGTTTGGATCTGCCAAACACTAATAAGTGAGGCTCTCTTTTGCAAGAGCTGATGTAAAGGTTAAGGAAAGAGGAAAGAATGAACCCAATCAGGTGGAGGGTAATCTAAGAAGATTCAGAGTCATCACCTGGTGAAGAACATCTGATTATGGATATTCTATAGGAATATCCAAATTCTTACCTACAAAATGAAATGCATATGGCACCACCGGATTAGAGTTTTACACCCATTTTCATTGGATCATTGAATTTCAGTGGGGTTTATAGGGTTTTATTTGAGAAGGATATTTTATTACTCTGCTGGTTCAACCCAAAATAATTCCACAAAATAAAAATATGAGGAAAGAAGCATGTTCATATCCTTTGAGTACCTTCTCTAAGGGTTTGATTATACCATAGAAATAATGCAGTTTGACACCAATTTAGGTGCCATGGGTCCTTCCTACAGAATCCTGGGATTTTTAGTTTTGTGAGACACCAGCACTCTTTAACAGAAAAGGCTAAAGATGTCGCAAAACTTCAAATCCCAAGATTCCAAAGGAAGGAGCCACAGCACTTAAAGAAGAATCATAGAATCATACAGTCATAGAGCTGGAAGATACCTCAAGGGCCATGCAGTTCAACCCCCCTGCCATGTAGGAACTCACAATCAGGGCACCTCCAAAAGATGGCCATCCAGTCTCTGTTTAAAAATTTCCAACGAAGAAGACTCCACCATTCTCCTAGGGAGTGTGTTCCACTGTCGAACAGCTCTTTATGTCAGGAAGTAGTTCCTAATGTTGAGCTGGAATCTCTTTTCCTGTAGCCTGCATCCATTGTTCTGTTCCCTAACCTCTGGAGCAACAGAAAACAAGTAGTGCCAAATTGTATTATTTCTATGGTTTAGATGCACCCTCAGAGAGGCCCAGTGGCTGAGTAGGGAGAAGTTGTGGCTCCCTTTTTATTGAATGCCCCTAAGAGATCATCCCATTTTTGAAATTCCTCTAATCCCAGGCATTTGATAGAATATTTCAGGGGCATATGTAGCTTTACCTTTATAGATAAGTTGGGCATTACTTTATTGTTAATGTTTGTACATTTTAATCAATTTAAGATCTTTTGAGACTTGTAAAGGGAAAAAAAACATATCAAATGCCTAATAAATGCCAGACACTTAGCATTTTCCCAATCTCCTTCTCCCCTGTCTCTCCTTCCCCACTCTGTTTGTATTATTCTATAATGCAAGATTCCAAGATGTAAGAGATCTCTGGTCATCTGAAAAGGATGTCTAAGGAGGGAAGCAGACGGGCAGCACGGGGCCACCCCAGGAAGCTGTGCCGTGGGACCGAGGTATAGTGCTCCTTCCACAAATCGCCAAAGGTGCACTGCAAAAGGCTGCCGGCGCACCTTCGGCGACTCTTCTGCTGCAGCGTGTATGGATGCTGCAGCGGGAGGTCATCCTCAGAGCGCCGGCCGTGCGGAGGGCTGGCTGTTCCGAGGACATTTTGGGGAAAGGGTTGGGGCACCCAGCGTGTGGCTGCCCCTCCCCTTCCTTGCTTTGAAGATGGCGCAAAGTGCCGTCTGCTTAGACCCAATGCCTTCAACAATGATACACTCTCCTTCTTTGGAGGTTGTAAAACAAAAGTTGGATGACCATCTTTTAGGAGTGTGCTTAGCTGTGTATTTTTTTCATGTGGTTGAACTACATAGTAGTTGAGGTCCCTTCCAAGTATATTAGAAGCCTATTATTGATTTCCTGCCTCAGCAAAGGCTTTGGCTAGATGACCATTGTGATTCCTTTGAACTCTATAATTCTATGATGACGTGGCATAAATTAATTCTGGGAGCGGATGGAATACTGGATTTGCTGCCACACCAACAATGGCATTCTCCAGTGCTGCTTTTCACAGTCAGCTTTGTGTCTGTGCTGATTTATGTTGTGCATTTGATATGTTTTCCCTTTACAAGTCTCAAAATATCTTAAATTGATTAAAATGTACAAACATTAACAAAAGTAATGCCCATCTTATCTATAAAAGTAAGGCATGTTCAATCACAAGCCTGACTCACTGTATTCACACTTTCTAAGAAACTATACTTACTTGGAAGCCTTGTTATTGTTCTGTACCTTCAAGTCATTTCTGACTTATGGCCATACCCCTATCATAGGGGATTTTAGGACTGAGAGTATGTTCCTTGCCCAAGGTCATCCAGTGGGTTTCTATGGCTAAGCAGGGAACTGAACCCTGGTCTCCAAAGTCACAGTCCATTGTTCAAACCACTACACCACGTTGGCTCTTACTGTAGCCTAAAAGAAGCAGGCATTTATAAGCACACAGACCCACAAAACTTTTCAAATTTTAGAATCACAAAACAACAAACCCTTCCTTGTACTTGCTTTAAAGATTTCTGCACTTATTTGCAATAGGCAATTCAGACCTTATTTTCTTTGTTCATTCATCTAAGAATATGGTTATTACTCCATAAAATGGAAGCACCCTAAGTTGCCATTATAACAGTAATAATCTAGAGTGAAAGTTAGAACTCTGGAATCTAAATTATGAATTTGTACCTAATGCAGATTAATGGCAAAAATATTAAGCAGTTCATGGGAGCACTGAATACAAGCTATTGACTCACAAAAAGGGCTTAAAGCAACCTTCCTTCAGCCTTTGCAATACCTATGTAAAACAATCCATCAGAAGTCAGTGTTACAACTAAAATAATGTTATTGCACTCAGATTAAATCAAAGGGGAGGTAGTAATCATTCCTCATCCCTGAAGCTTCGAATTAGAGAGGGGAAGGTGTTTTGTAATTTCCACCTCTGACATTAACCTGCAAAGAAGCATTGCAGACACATGCACTGGAATTGTCATTGTTTCCATGGTGCCAGTCTCCATCACCTATTTTTAATAGTTTACACAACAAGATCAAGGGTGTCCCAGCTGTTACTGCTTTGGTTGCTAGGCAACCTTGAAATCAGAGTTCAAGAAGACAAAGAATCATGCTTGAAAAATTTCTCAAGTGTCTGCTTTTCTCCCTTCTACATCTTTTTTCCCCGTCTCCTCCTTCTGTTGACATCATTTTTCAGTGTTTATAGTCCGATGTTGCCTCGGCCTCTTTTTAAAATTCTGAAGATGAAGCAATGGTAACTACATCAGCACCTGACAGGCTGAGCTCAGATGCTTTGAGCCAGCATTTCTAACCACCACCAGCAATATATACTCCTGTGACCCATAATAAGGGGGTACATTTACATATTTGCCCAATTGTGTAAATCTGTTTTCTGATCCCCATTATCTGTTGATGGTGTGTAACATTGTTTTGCATGACTTCACAGTAAAATAACACCTCAAATTAATAGACTGCCTCATGCTGCTTCAAAGAACAGTACTCCTGTGCATTCAGGAATCTTAATACCATCCCCTATATACATACTTTCCCCACACACACTCTCTTGTTCACGCTTGCACAAAAACACACACAGAATAGAGCTCAAAGTTTTTAAAGAATCAAATAACCTCAGATCACTGTGCTGGGTCTCTTCTTAATAATCTTAACCTCTCTTGAATTTAATGTAGAATCTAGATCCCAGAGCAAATTCTTTGACTAAAATGACTGAGCTAAAGCTATCATACCCTGGTCATACTGTGATATGAGATAACTTATTTGGAAAAACAATATTTGGTTAAGCTGAGAAGGTCTTCACTACACATGACTGCCAAAGGTTGCTGCCACACTGCAGAAATAAAGCAATTTGACACTACTTTAATGTCCACAGCCCAATGCTATAGAATTCTGAGATTTGTAGTTTTGTGAAAGATTTAGCCTTCCTTTTCAGAGGGCTCTGGAGCCCCACCATACTACGAATCCCATAATTCAAGAGGACATGGACAAGTGAGAGCATGTCCAGAGGAGGTTGACCAAAATGGTAAAAGGTTTAGAAACCATGCCTTATGAGGAGAGACTTAAGGAGCTGGGTATGTTTAGCCTACAGAAGGACGACATGATAGCTATGTTTAAGTATTTGAAAGGATGTCATATGGAAGAAGGAGCAAGCATGTTTTCTGCTGCTCCAGAGACTAGAACACAGAGCAATGGATTCAACCTACAGGAAATAGATTTCACTTAAATATTAGGAAGCACTTCTTGATCGTAGGAGCTGTTCAACAGTGCACCCCATTTCTTCGGAGAGTGGTGGAGTCTCCTTCTTTGGAGGTTTTTAACCAGAGGGTGGATGGCCATCTTTTGGGGGTGCTTTGATTATGTATTCCTGCATGGCAGGGGGTTGGACTGAATGGCCCTTAGGATCTCTTCCAACTCTATGATTTTATGATCCTATGATTCTTATTTCATAGCATCGAGCCATGGAAGTTAAAGTGCTACTAATCTGCTTTAATTTCTGAATTGTGGCAGCAATCTCAATCAAGAAAGTCTTAATCAAGAAAGTCACACCACTGAGATTGAAAGACCTAAGCAGGGCTGTTGCTAACAGGGTTTCTTCATGGTCTCTCATTTATATGGTCACCATAAGTCACAAATGGATAGCTGTGTGGAAATAGAAGCTAGATTTGCTCTTTACCACCCTTCCCCCTGCAGGACACCCCCACAGCAACCCTAAATCCCCCACAGAAACACCCCCAACAGCAACCCTTTTCATTTTAAGGCCCTTTCAAAATGGTGACAGGAAATGATGTTTCACTTTCAGCATTCTGAGAGGGACTGCAGGCGAAAACAGAGGTGTGGGGGTTTATGGAGTTTTGAGGTGTTTGGGGAGTATTTTTGCATGTCCATATATTTGAGAGGATGTCTGTATGGTTTGAAGGTAAAACCATGCAGAAATCTATATCAAATGTTTTATTTACTACTGGGTGAGTTGAGGGGCTTTCATAGAACTGGTGGAAGACTGGGGAGGGGGGTCACAAGTGGGGTCCAGGATCCACATGTGGCCCATTGGTTGCAATTTGCCCTCCTCTGCTTTAAGCCCATGCCAACTTGATAGCAACTAACAAAATCAGCACTATCCAAGGTGGATGGGAAGTTTATTCAAAACATTTTTCAAGCCATTGATTGTTCTTGTACCCTCTGTATACATGACACTTTTCAGAAGTGGCATAAACCATAAGGACTTTCCAATCTACATTTTAACAATTGGGGAAAAGTCTCTTAAAGCTGCTCAGGTTTGATGGTAACTCATATGGTGTGATATGAAATGATGACCACCTACTTTTCAGAGCTTAACACTCTCTCCAGAGCAGAAAGAGCCTCTTGTCCCTGCTATCCCTTGCCCCTGAAAAGTAGGTGGTCATAATTTCATATCACACCATATGAGTTACCATCAAACCTGAACTCCAGGGAGTATATTAGACTGCTACTATGATACACCAATGTAGTACTGACATAGCAGACACCAACACAGCAGAATCATAGGAATGGGCAGCCTCTGATTTATCCTAGCAATGAGAGACACTAAAAATTATGAATATGTGGTAGCTCATGAAAAGAGATAGTGCAATCCTAAAACAATAGGTGGAGGAGGAACAAGTACTTGCTCATTTCAACATCTTAGATCACATTCTCCTTTCTGGCTGTTAAAAATTGACTACCAGAAACAATTGTTAAATTCTTTCCCCTACCTTTCACAGATGCTTTGTAATTACATCCAAAGGCAAGGCAGCCCCTCAGCTGTTCAACAGAACTTTTTGTCATCATTGTCATTGTTATTATAGCTGAACCCAGAGTCATCATAACTGCAATTAGAAGCACCAAGTCTCTGAGATTTTTGCACTGTAAAACTTTCTTTGCTGGGGACAGTACAATAAGTGAAACATTTTACATTACATTAGCCCAGATGCAAACATGAAGGATTCTTTCTCCCTTCAAAGACCTGCTTGGGTCTTCAATTCCTCTGTTTTTCTACTCATTATGCTCTTATGCTGTCCATTATTATCTCAGACATCCTTTTGTTCCTGACTGTAAACTGATGGTCAAATGATCGTTTAATGGCCAGGAAAGTTTATGACAATAGAAACTGAAATCTAATTTACATAATCCAGTGTCTCACTATGGCTTCATTTATTATGCCAATACAGGAAGAAATAGGGCCAACATGGTGCTATAGTTTGAGCGCTGGAGTGCATTGAATCCCCAGTCAGCCATGGAAATCCACAAATTGTTCTTGAGATTTTGGGATCATATAATTAGATCTGAATTTGGAATAATGTCTTTTAGACATTGATCTCAGATTAATTAATATTGGTGTAAAATGGGAAAATACTAAGTTTTGTAATAAATCTTTAAACAATTAAATAATAACAACTTCCCAAAAAAATCTTGGCTGTTTAATTAGTCTAAATTGTTATTCGGACATGACCTAAGAAAAATAGCTGCTTTAAGGGAAGGTACATCATGGTCTTCATGATTAAGACCAGAATGATTGGGGCTTGTCTGATTATGTGATATGGGATGAAGCACAGTGGCTGTTTAGGCTGGTTGCCCCTATACATCCATTCCTTCTCTTTGAAACTCACAAGCTTGATGTAATGAGGAAGAGCACTAACAGGGAAATCCAAAAATTTTTAACAAACGAATCTGGATGTATGATTTCCCATCCATCATTCATCTATCAGTTTCTGTTCTGATAACCTCCACAGGAGGGTTGGGGTTCACCTTTCTGATGAAGGTAGTCTGTTCTTTTTGTGAGACTTACAGGAAGGGAAGAGGGCAGTGTTGGCCATCCTGTTGGGGGAAAGGGACTAAGCCAATGCTTGACCCTTTCAGTGGCAGCAATGAGGGAAAATATGATTAGTTCAGTGTTCATCATTGACACCCTCTTTGGGTAAAATGTTGGGCTCTGGGACAGCCTTTACAGGTCAAGGGACCTGGGGGTTGGAAAGGAGGCTGCCTTTGGGGCTGACATGGGGGCTTTGCTCTCACTTACAAACTCATGGGAATTTGAGAGAGAGAGAGAGAGAGAGAGACTTATGTTTGCCTTCCAATAGGCTGGACTGAGGGTTCTATCCAATATCTTGGATTTACCTTGGGGCCTGGTGTTTCACCCAAGGGTAAGCTGGTTCTCCAGCTGGACCCGCACCAGGATGCTCCTCCTCCTTATAGTTTCCCAAAAAGTCAAATTTATTAGTGTTTGAACAGGTCAAGTAAATGCCCCTTTATTTTCCCATATATACATGTCTGGTCTCGTTATTTCATGGTTTCTCATCAATCAAATTCAGTGTTGAGGCCTTAGATTATGTTTCAAGGTCCGACATTAAAAAATTAAATATTAGCTATTAGAT